TAACATTATAGAATTAAACTATAATACAGAAAATTATAGTCCAATATATTTTATAGAACCTTATTACTGTAAGTATGAAATGGTATAAGTTATATTGTCCAGCACTATCTCTACCATATATTATATAGCCATTGCATTAGAACTACAATACGCCACCACAGACCACTATTATGAAAAGGTATTCACTAATGAATGCACAGCATATAGGGATCATAAAGTGTTTCACCAAACAAACAATCCTTGAAGAAGAGCTCTTTTGAGTCACTCTGAAATATAACCTGCGCCTCATGTCACAGGATATTGCGTCTATGACAATCAGGTTTGTTAAAACGTTGCTTATTGCACATCCAGAACTCCAGCCTTCATTCTTTTTTAATGTGCTGCAGACTGTAGACTTCAACCTCCATGACTGACTGGGTAATCACAAAAAAATATTACATATGAGTCATCTGGTTGGACACGATGCACTGCCTCTGCAATCTCCTAAAGTGACTGCGTTTTATTTTCACAGCACCACTCCTGAGTGCCCCATGCTTCTGCCAAAACCCTGCTTCGTGTAGTTTGCAGAGACACCTTCACCAGTGCATAATACTGTATGTTTCTGGTGCAAACAAATCTCCACATTACAGCAGTGTAACATTCCCATGCTACATCTTCCATTCCCAAGCAAATACGTACGGCGATAGTGTTGAAAAATGCAGTTAAAAAAACTGGTATGCACAATAATATAATGATTTATAAACACTTCACTGTGACAGCAGCCATAGTGCACCAGAACGCTCACCACACATCAGTTATCAGTGGTGAGTTATCAGGAGAGCAGAGTAATGAAGCCATTACTGGGGATTATTAAGAGGCCATGATAGGCAAGGGCCAATGGGAAATTTGGCCAGGACGCCGGGGTTACACCCCTATTCTTTACGAGAAACACCCTCGGATTTACGTCTTATCCAAAGGACGGCAGCTGTTTACAGTATAGTGTCCCCGTCACTATACTGGGGCATTAGGACCCACATGGACCGCAGGGTGAGCGCCCCCTGCTGGCCCCACTAACACCTCTTCCAGCAGCAACCTTAGTTTTTCCCAGGAGGTCTCTCATCCAGGTACTGACCAGGCTCACACCTGCTTAGTTTCAGTGGGCTGCCAGTTGTGAGTTGCAGGGTGATATGGCTGCTAGCCGTATAATGTACAGTAGTATTTCAGGTGGGTAGCTGCGTCAGCATGCGTAGGCTACAAAGGAACAAGTAATAGGTTTATTCCACGTTGAAAAAAAGAAAGAAAACACAATGTTTCGGCCGTGGAGCCTTCTTCAGGTACCACAGACAGTTGTATTACCAGTCTATTAACCTTCAGGATGTTGCAAAAAGTTACTTTATGATAAGAACAACCACAGCAAGCAAGATCATAGACACGGTCACAGTGTAATGCTGCTACAGCCTTACCAGTGAAATAATAGAAAGTTCTACAGCAGAGGTCATAATCCAATAAATATTTTCTGTAACTGAATTGTGTATCTGAAGGAATACATATCTCCTACATTTAATTTATTAGTATATTTTAAGAATTACAGCTGTGAGAAAAAAAAATGTGAACCCCATGGAACCATCTGTATTCCTGCATTAATTGCTTGTAAAGTGTGATCTGGTCTTAATCTAAAGCATAATAATATATAAATACAATCTGATTAAACTAATAACACACAGAGGATTGTTCCTCTTTTTCTACTCTATATTGAACACATAGTTTAAACATTCATTGTCTATGCTGAGAAAGTATGTGAGCCCTTAAAGTTAATAACTGGTGGAACCTCCTTCAGCAACAATGACCTCAACCAAACATTTCCTGTAGCTGCTGACCTGTCTTGCACATTGGTTAAAGATTCACATACTTTTTCCAGCATAGACAGTGAATGTTTAAACAATGTGCTCCATATAGGCATGAAAAAGTACAATTGTTTGTGTGTTATTTGCTTAATGAGATTGTGATCTCTTATTATGACAAAGATGAAAATCAGATCATGCATTTGCATCAAGCTTAGGTTGATTACAAAATAAATGAATAAATGAACAAAATGAGAATTTTAAACTTTTGTAGAGACTCATGATTCTGTTAATTAAAGAATGTTGAACTACAGTAGGATAAAAGAAACCATCAAAACAAATAGTAGGCGATTTCTGACATAAAATCTCACACATTAGGTTTTTGGATCCTTGAGAGCTACAGTACAGTATGTCAGTAATCAGTGTAGAAAAAAAACACAAAATTTCCTCTCAGCTGAATTTGTCTCTGGTTACAGACAAATATTACGTGCCTTTGTCTCTTGCTGAGGTTGACGAGAATAATAAAGGGAGTGGAAGCCACAGAATTTTCAAAGAAAAAAAAAGACCTATTGCCTCAATGAGTGTAAAATAAGAAACAGCGCCTCAATAGTAAATAGAGAACAATGAAGGCATGATGCATATAAAAAACAGAAAATAGTGACGCCTTTTTAAGCACAAAGCATTTCCTTGGACAGCATCATAGGTTTCCTACTAGTTGTTGTGGTCAAATAATGTCTTGTTCAGGATAATATTGTTTAATATTGATAAAAATAATATACAGTACTGTAGCTGGTTAGTTCTCTAGCAAGTACAGTAATCTAGCTTTAAGATATCTGGGGAGAGGGGAGGTGACCACCTGGCATATGTTTTTCCTGTACAGAATTGTGAAGAATACTGTACTCATGGCTGTAAAACCATATTTGCCAATTAATATAATGTAAATTTAATCTAGAATTTTAATTAGCACATATTTTTGTATTTACAAAATTCCCTGAATGATATTAATCTATAGAAAGGTACAGCAACTCATGCATTTAGTGTTGTTTAGCAGATTGATCAATCTTGGACTTCCATATGCGCTGAAGAAAGAAAATAGGAATACATTTAATGGAATTTAGTTTTCAGAAAAATAACAGAAACGTCAAATATTATACCTGTATCATTTGGTTTAAAAGAACCTGAAGCTTTTAGAAGCTGAAATGGATGAAACAGCCACATAATAAGACTGAGTTTACCTACAGTATACACCACTTCAAAACTAAAACAAGGTAATCATCATTGTTAATTGTATTAGGTAAGGAGAGATCTGTTACAATTTATATTTGAATTATTTCTCAAAAATGAAGAGCTACAGAAGTTGTTGTACCTTATGTTTTGTTTGTTTACATAACTATTTAATCCTTACAATACATGTATTTAAAGACAACCTTGTTAATACTTGTAAGTTGTTTTTGAACAGAGGTATTACATAATAACTGTTTAAGTCACTGATCTCCTAACCGTAGCGATCTAACATTAACTACGGTAAGAAATGGTAGATTCTGATTGTTCTAAAGAAAAAAAGGGTGCTGTACTTATCTGGTGTACATGTAACTGCTAAAGCAAAACTACCTCAACCAGTATGACAGTTCATATCAATATCACTGTATATCTCCACAGAACAATAACAAATATTTGAAGAAACACATTCATCAGTTTCATTATTCAATGTATTGACATCATCCTTCATTCATCACTAAAATTGTTTTTCACTTGTATCTCTTAAATATTTGGAAGAATGGCTTTCAACAAGTATACAAACATACTTTATCAAATATATATATATATATTTTCAATTCTGTTTTCACCTTACATTTTTTCTTTTTTACTACAGACCAGTATCTGAAATCAATGTGTGAGGTGGGTAATATGACAATTAAAAAGACGTTTCATGTTGTATAACATTTCAAATTCTTTGGTAGCTCAGAAATATTTGTGTAAACCCACATGAAAATGGTTAAGGCTGACTTTTTCCTAACACGTTCTACACTCATTTACTCTGACAATCTTATTTACTTTGACTCCTTTGGGATAATATTATAAAATAATCTGAAAGAACCAGCACCCTTTACATCAACATAAAGACCATTATAAATGAAATACAGAACAGACAAAAGACTAAACAAAAAAAAAATGGAAAACAAAAAACCCTCCCAATGCCTGCCCCTATAAAGAATTTCATCTATTTTAATCATTGACGGAGTTGTTTTCTATTGTTTTGTTAAGCGGTGTATTTGGTAGACAGAGAAAGGCACAGGAGAATAAAGCAGAAACAAGGTCTGTCTAAAAGTGAGGATCTCCTTTCTTCTTCAGTAGCTTTCCCGTATGCTCCCATTTAGCCCAGCTTAGCATGAGAGATGGGTGGACCCTGGATTTCTGCCAAAGAGCAGTGAAAACTCCAGCCTCGGTGCATCATGAATTTATCATTTGCTTTGAAGCTGGTAGAAAGTGGCTGTTACACTGTCTCATAGAAGATGACGTTTCTGGCGAACAGCATTTTGCTTAAGTAACCGATCAGTGAGTTTCACTCACAAATTACCCTCTAAATGGGTCCACCTGTAAAAGAGACAAACCTTTGGAATTTCAACAAGTGCACCGAACCGTCCACCCATCACACAGATTCCATCATATTCCCCAATTATCGGATCGTTGCAACGCATTAAACCCGTTCATTTATTAACATCTGCCAACATACATAGATATTTGAATTAAACCAGACACTTAAATATGCAATTTAGACTACTTAATGGTTGTTACAATTAAGCATAAAATAGAAAATAAAAGTATGTTTATAGCAGGTTAAGCAATTTTCTTAGCTCCAATCACAAGGATTTCCCTCTTCACAAAGCTTGAACCATGTTCTTAACGCACATCATCTGTGTTACCCGAATTTTCCAGTCACCGCAGTGATATTATATTATACGCACATGCATATTCCTTAACTGTCAGTTTTCATTCTGGGCAATTGTCCATCACTGAGTAATAACTTCCTTGGCTTTTGTTAATTTCATTGACATATTCGCATCATGAAAAGAAAGGCGCAGAAGTGCTTCCAAAAGCAAGCAACGCAATTTTGAACATGCTGCCTTTTCAAGCTTTATTTCTTGTCGTCGCGCAGGTACCATTATTAAATTGTATTACCTGTTCCAAGAACCCGTTGCTCCAGTGAGTCTTAAAACGCAAGTGCAACTCCCTAATATTGGTGAACAAGCACACGGCAACGGCTTTATTCTTCTCCGCTTGGGTACCCAACAAAGCATGATGGGAGCCTGTGTATTGCCTTCATTCCGCAGTTCTCTTTAAATTTCATTGGCCGAATCGTTACTGAAATTAAAAAGGGTCCCTCCTTTTACTCATGAGCTGCTTTCCAATAGAACATAAATATTTTAACAGAACAGCTGCTTCGAACTCTCAAATGTCACATACGCAGCTACACACATAGCTATAAGAAGATGGGTTTTATTACTTACAGGAGTACAGTTGCTGGCTCAAAAGGTGACATTAATAAAGTTATGTGAAGAGATGTATAAAATAATTTGATATTTCTTTGCGGTAATTTATTAGGTTTAGATGCGTATTATAAGGCATTTCTTTCATCTCACTTCATGGTCATAGTGTTAGAAGAAAAACGTATGTCATTACATTATATTATATTACGTTGATGATTTTTTTATTTTTTCCTTTAACCTGCATCTTAATAATATTAATCTAAACAAATACAACGTGTGTTTTTGTACGTTGTTACTATTAATATAAATACCTATGGCTGTTTCATAGACGTTTTAATTTCGTACTTCTATTACTTTTGCATCGTCCAGTCAATTATCAGAAAAGCGGACAAAACTAGTTCTTTACCATGCACGTCTTGGTTTTTGCATTAACATTGACAGCTCAGACTGTTTCCTTACAATTAATTCGACAATATAAATGTTATATTATATACATAATAAAAATATAAATGGGTTGCATAAACGTAGTTAAAACCTTAAAAGAAACTATAGGGACTTTTATTTAATTTGAAATCAGAAAAAATATACATTTACTTTGTTCGGAAGGCGTTCTTCTGACAAAGATTATATATTTCATTCATCTACGTCTTTTGATTGAATTAAGTGGCCTAATATATTTCCAAGGACATTTGAGAACATCTAGTAGAATCAATAGTGAGACCAGATGTAAGCGGTGAATCAACCCACAACCGAGGGTGTTAGTATTTTGATATTTCAGAGTACAGTATACGTGCTGCATAGTCATTTTGACGTCCATATTATTTGTAAACCCGTGACTCAACCTCTGAATCTATCTGTGAGTTTGGAAAGCATTGGTGTTTTAGGATTTGTGAGAAGTAACTAAGGTTTCTAGATAATTTTTGATTAATAGAAATTATGATATTTTAAAACAAGTATTAATTCAGACAAAACAATAAAAATATTATTGCTCTGTGAATTTCTGTGGTTTCTCTAAACTCAATTATCTTGTGTTTTCCCATAGATTGCTGTCAGCAAATCTTTCAAGGCCAGTATCAAGCAACCAAACAACCAAAATCTGATAAAGAACTCATCCTATTAAGCTTTAGCACTCTCTTACAGATATTAGGCAACATTTACTGCAATGTTGATTACAAAACATCACAGCGAAGTTCAAATATTAATATAGTGACACATTGTTAATTCTATTATATAAACTTTTTATAAAGGAATACCACAAATCTCAAAGATAAAAAATACAAGTAGAGTTATAGAAATACACAAGTAACACACCATATTCCTAATACTGATTAATTCAAAAATATGTAACTCGGTATACTGTAGTGCAGACTGCACAACTCATGATACAGTATAGTCCTCTTTACCCCATTAAAACTATCTTGACCAGAATTTTGCTTGGTACACTTACTGTGAGTACATTATCTCAATAAACAGAAAACAATTATTTTAGACCAGCTTACAATATTTGTATTCCTTTGTTTATAAGTATACAGCCATATCACCCTGCAACTCACAACTGGAAACCCACTGAAGCTCAGCAGGTGTGAGCCTGGTCAGTACCTGGATGGGAGACCTCCTG